CAGACACATCAACAAAATTAGAATTCAAAGTAAAAAAAAAAAAGACAAACTTTGAGCAAAAAGAGTGATAAAATTGGTTTTGTTTGTTTTTGTTTTGTTGTTGTTGTTTTGTTTTCAAAAATGAGTAAGCATATTTTGCAATCCCTATATGAAATGTCCTTAAACATACAACCGAGTTAATCACAAGGGAACGTTGGATGGGTTTCATCAACCTGCATCTTTTGGAACCCTGTCGTGTATTATGTAACTGTTTAGTCCATCTTTGATTCGTTAATAGGTTCACACACATGTAAAACATGTAGAATGTAACAAGCTTGATACAGCACATGTTTGAGGCTTTTAAATATGCAACGTTTCATTTATAAAATGTTTGTTGTTTTGAATTCTGCACTTCCATACCTCATTATAAACTAACGGAATGTCTTCTTTCTCTGGTTATGTTGGAACATTAACTACCGATAACACAGAATCATAGTGGTATATTTAAGATATTTAGGATAGCACATCTGCACAGCTCTCTTTTTAAAGACCTGGTGAATTGCGATACATATAATCGTTGTGAACTATGTACTGAAGTTATTTCTTTTAAAAGTACCTCTAAAGCAAAAGAAAAAAGATATTGAAGATGAATTCGAGAAAATGATCTAATATTTTATTTGAAATACATATATATATTCATGGAGTTTGGTAAGGTCTTCTTGCTGACAATTTGGGTTACCTATATTTGTACACACACACATATATATAGGAACAAACTAAACCCCTCACGTGGTTGTCTTGTCTTTGCTTTCATGTTAGTCTATGTCGGAATCTATCAAACAACTTGTCAATCCAGGTTGCAGAATTCTTCCATAAATTTCATATTTTGATATATTGACAAGGAATTTATTAACGAAATCCATCGAATACACCCACCAGTATCAAAGAAATGAAACACACCGCAGACTTCATCAGCCAGTCGGTTCACTACGGCGAAACCTAACGGAACAGCTTTTCACCGAGCTGTTTGAAAAGCGGGATGGTCCCGATTTCCCTTTTCTGGACGGTAATAATCCTGCTTCCATATGTTGGAAGTTATGAAGAGCTGACAGGTAAACTCGCAATAGTGACGCACGTTGATAAAGAATATGGGGAAATATCGTGTCCGCCACAATGACCTTATTGTCACGCCGTCACTTGTCAAATACGGCCTTGACTTGTTATCGGAAGTGTCAAACTTTTTTTTAATCAATTTCATTACATAACGCAGTACAGATAATAGCCTTACTTGTCTTCAATTCTGATCCGCTACTTTAATTTATGACCATAATGATGAGGTCTCTAGCTTTCCTTCTCCTTACCGTGTGTATTATTGGTAAGTAATATCAAACAGCTGTTGTGCTACCAAAATGGTACGTTTATGATACTTAGAGCTTGAGTGACCGAGATTCTGTCTAGATGTCAACGTCTTGGTTGTTATATAATCAAATACCTGCTGTCCACATTCTGCCAGAAGGGAGAAAAAGTTGTCGTCGTTATACAATATGTTCAAATAAAGTTCGTAAATGAATGTTTAATGATAAGTACGTTATTTGGAATTGCTTGCAAGGATCTAGTTGTAAAACACACATTAATATATTTAGAAAGTTGATACTGTCTGTTTATCGACATCAAGGATAAGGATTATTATCCCACTGTGTGTTGTCTATGAAACTTGTTACTTTTTGCGAAGTATGATACTAAATGTACAATTTACCACTCAATATTGTCTTTGTAATTTCATATTTTTAGCTGAGAATGATGCCACACATGTACAATCTACCACTCAATATTGTCTTTGGAACTTTTGTTACTTTTTGCGGAGAATGATACCACATGTACAATTTACTACTCTGTGTTGTCTTTGTAATTCAATATTTTTAGCGGAGAATGATGCAACATATATACAGTTAACCACTCAGTATTGTCTTTGTAACTTTTTACGTTTTTACGGAGAATGATACATACGATGTACACTCCATATTTTAGGGAGTGTTTCCACCAAACCTCTGGTGTCCAGATCCTTGTTGGATACTCTCCTTGGACATAAGGACTGTATCGGAGGCACGGTATCTTGCTTTATAGATCCGTGCATGGTATCAATGTGTGCTCTGGTGGCTGTGCATTGCGTGTAAGTTAGTTTTTGCTACCGGATCCTTTCGGATGCCTGGTTTTATCTCGTGTGTCACATCAACCCACATCTCTTTGTAAGCACTGGAAAGCGTTTGTCGAAATCGTGTCAGTTTTTGTACCTTAAATCACAGTTATTTCTAGTTTGTTTAAGGTTTTGTTGAAAAACTTTGTATAGGAAGCTCCTGGTTGCTTCATGGTCATATCGAGATCGTTGTGAAGTGTATTTCCAGCAGACTTTTCTATAGAATAAGGGTTGCCAATGACAACTAAAGACCTTAGACATTTTCACAAAAGCTCTATTTTGTGGTCAGTAATAATCTTGTCTCTATGGAAACGTCACTTAACTTCTTTAGGGCCGACTACTGCGGTGGCTGTCATGCGCACTGGGTAGATGCAAACGGTATGACAGTGGCCTGCTAAGGAGCCTTACGTCAACAAGGTAAATTCTATCATTCCGTGTATCTGATAGAATATTTTTAAATTAAGGGAATGGTATTTTCAGAGTTCGTTCTAAAGGGTAACTTCATGATTTAAAAAACAGCAGCTAAATATCTATGATTCTACATATAAATATATCACTTCTTTTAAAACAATATGGCAGATATTACTCCAGGATTGCGACAAATCTTTTACTAACTTTATTCTAGTATCAATATTACTTTAAAAAATAAACTAGTCGGTTACTTGTCGATGAGAATCGCGTCACACGCCAGACTTGACTAGGGGGAAACTTTTTCATAAACAAATATATAATTAACTATCTTTTTTTCCTTCAGTGACTACTACGTGTACATCGTCTGAAGTCAAGTAGTAAATTCGTCATTTTTTGTCATGTTATCAATAAATAAACATCGTACACGTCCTTTTATCTGTCTCCTTTTTTATCACTGAGAGTTTTTGGGAACAAATAAATGTATCCTGATTTTAAGGTGTGTCTTACTACTTTCTGTAATATCGCTCGACTAGTGTGATCTCCTGTTTTACTCAATCGCTTGAGCACAAACAAGTGAATCAGTGGTCCCTAGTTAGAATCCTAGCGGAGACCTTGGAATATATAATGATCGATGTTACAACGACTTGTTCTTTTCGTTGCAAGTATGTAATTATATTACAATTCCACAGTGTGAACTGTCAATTTTACTATGTACATTGTCTCTACAATATTTCACAAAACTTACGTACTGATACTATATATCTATTTGTGTTTTAACAACAGATATGGACACATATATGGTACCGACGTTTAAAAGTGAACCCATGTGTTCATGTGGACAAAGGAGTAAAGTCGTTTAAATGGCGAAAAGCTTTTAAAAAATCGAATCCAAGATGGACGCCAGTAGACAAATCCCTCCTCTCTCCAATTTCGGATGTTGGCCAGATACAACAATGAACACATATAGAAAATGGCTACCTGTTTGTCATTTTTATTTATCAGTCGAAAATCAAACAAGCAAAACTTGAAATAGAAATTATATATGAAACATCCTCCCATTAACTTTAAACAATAGCAATTGTCAACATTTAAGACAGTCACCTGTTGTTCGCATTAAAAATCTGCCCTAAGATGAAGAAGCAAAGATCCAGGGTCGATCTATGCTTCATATTCATCAATCATTTTCTTCGAAGGTGGAAAGATGACAACCGATAGACCGTTTTGTTTTTCGATTAGTCTAAAAACTAAAGAAACTAAACATGGGAACCAACATCAAAATATTACTCAAGTTTTATGAGTGGCCACCCATATTAATATCCATTAAATTTCCAACCAGTTTCAAACTTGACAATTTCAAGCGAGATCAAAAGGAACCAACCGATGGAATTCAAAATATATGATCAATATTTTCTTCTCAAGAAATGGCGATAACAAAAATTGTTAGAGAACACACCGACCATGGAGAAAGAAGATCAGACAAGCCCGCTATATGATGATGTACTAGAGAGCTATCATGTCTCAAAATATCTGTCATTGCCAGAATGTCTAAAATCCTTCCGAAGTGATCAATGGAATCCACGTCAGGACGAAATCTAGATCAACGGAATCGTTTCTTTTAAAAAGTTGTTTAAGAGCAAGTCTTGATGACAAAGAGAATGTTACTTGCTAATGACAGCCACCTTGGCATGAAAATTTACAGTTCTAAATTCTAAGTCTTCGCACAGTATAAAGACGGAATAAATTCACTTAGTTTTCAAAGGTCATACTGACCCCATCAAGTTTCCAAGCTTTAACATGTTTCAATTTTGCTTATACATCGTTTATAAACATCTAGGTTCAGGAGGACACTTTACAGGGAGAATGTATTCAATTTACAAGAAAAAAACATTCTTTATATTGTTCTATAGATGGTCGAGATCAAACATATGAACAAACTGGACAAATAGTACAGGACTTTGTTGGCATAATTGACCAGATAAATCCGGTTATCCTCCTCCATTTGAACACACTTTTAAGACTTTCATCTCAACATGCTACAAGCCAAATATATGAACCCTGGGTTTTGTAATATCCAAAAGTTGTCTAAGATACGGTCGTTCATTTCAATAAATTCCACTCTACAGATCAGATGTCAAAACTCTTCATTTTACTTCCGAGTTTTTGAAAAAAAAAAATCAGTACATTTGACCCCACATACACAGAATGAGGGTCAAGGCCATTCTTTTGATTAAACCTGAAACTCCATTATCCCAGGGGGCAACTGGTCCAACATCCTGATTTTCAGACTATTGGTTATACAGCTGATTAGAAGTTAAGGCCAGAGAGACATTGGAAGAATGCAAGACATTTCATTCATCTAAGCATTAGCTTAATTACCCTTCAGGCAGGTGATCTAAAAAATAACCCAAAACTCAAGTTTAAGATTTCTGTCATTTTACTTTTTGGTTAACAATCAAATTTTATTCATTTAGATCCATAATAATTATAGTTCATTCATTTGGAAATAAGGGGAGAGGGCTTATAATGGTGAATGACACATAACCATGTCAGTTCTGTTATCAGAGAGTTTGTACACAGATGTACATATTGTATTAGCATTTCTGTTACAAATTTTACTGAATTACTGATAAACCATAGAATATTTTAGTTACAATACTGCAGTACATCTAAAAACATAAAACATTTCCCTCACTAGACAGTACACATCTACAAATGTACCTATCCAGGTAGGACCATCTTTTCAATGAAACATTCAATAAATTTTAAATTTTCAATATATCTAAATTTTCTCAATAAGATCACAAAGTAAGTATAAATTGAATTCAAGATTTTTGTATACTACATTCTATGTACAAAATATGTTTACCTGTGAGTATGTTTGATAGATACAGGTGGAAAACAGTTAAACAAGGTATTTAAGGATGGTAAATCAGTTTCTCTGGTGACAACTTATCTATAAAAACTTCTACGCACACAACATTCTATATTACTCACATATCTGTTAAACCTTATGTATTCCAATGTGATTTGGTTTCAAAGTCCACAAATATAACTTTTATACAAAATACACTCACACACAACTGATACCATAAATTTCCATACTATATTCCGAAAAATCATTTCAAAGTGACCTCTCCTTTACAGTTTAGTGAGACACTCTACATGGAGAAATGTACACCACAAGTGTTCTGGTACATCTTTCAGGTTTATTTCAGCACACAATACTTGCTTGATAAAAACCATAGAAATGAAATTTTCCACGTAATTCACAATGCTGAATGGGGGTTTAAACACATAGCACTAATTCAAGAACCAAAACGTTTACACATCATCCGAGCTATCAACATATCAAGAGATGTTCTAGTACAAATGGATATCAATTCCAATTAAGAAAACAACGAAATCAACATAATTATGTAAAAAATAATCACATTCAGAATGAAAAAACTAACAGCACCTTTTTATATGGGTACTCTACTACCATAGAATGCCTATACGAGCCCAGTTTGATCAAATTATCATAACGTCTCAACTTTGTAGATGAAAAAAAATATTTGAAAAGTGTTCTGCACAAATTAAATAAAAAAATTAATATTCTAAACATTTTATCTACTTATTGAATAAACGTTTTGCTGAGTGGTAATTATTGAGCAGGTATGGTACATTACTGACTGATATATCTATCGTTTAATATGACATCACCTGACACATGTATCACAAGTGGAAAACGCCCGTACATTTTCTATGTACAGCCATATCAAACCACATGAAGCCTTTAAATGGTAAATACATTCAAATGTCTACTTTCGCTATTAATTACAAAACACATCTACCATAGAGTTGTGACATTAGACATAATCATGATTTATCAGGGAAAAAATAAAATTAATTAACTTCTAGGACAAATAAGGTATAATATCACTAATTTGATATTTATTCTTGAAAGCAAGTATGCCTTTAAACCAGGTTTATAATTTAGTTTACATGGAAGCAACTTAAATGCAATCTGGCTTCGGACATTGGGTACATTTATAACAAAAATGGGAATTTAAGCAATTTGTCAGTTCATACAATACAGGATAGGTGTACATTTGGGGTAAACATAAGTCACTGAAATCCTGTCCACAAGGTGTTATATGTTACTAAAGGAGGAACTTGACATGATGTTTCAAATGATCTTCCATGAATGTGGCGATGAAGAAGTAACTGTGGTCGTAGTCCTGTAATAAAAATGAGACACAATTATTGTAATACAAACAGACATGATATTAATGGTAGAATGGTGTGTAATGTATTCTTCAGAAAAAGCAATTTTTAACATTTTATTTAAATCTTAGACTATAGGTCTCATGATCAGAATGAGCTTGGCATGTCGACATGATGCATATAAAGCACTTACAATTCTGTTTGCTTTGATTCAAACTTTACTTAATGTACATTTATAGCATTAACTGTGAGGACTACAGTAACTACAAACCTCCTGCATTCTAAGCACAACAGGCATTTTGGCTTCAGCACATGCTGCAACAAAGTTGTCAGGAAGTAGCTGTCCTGCTTGTAGAAAGTTATCTGCTTTCCCCTATAAATGAAAGTGAACATATTGGATGTTACCAATTAGTTATTTGTTCTTTCAAAATTATTTCATTTGACCAAAACAAAATGTTTTCTTATAAAATAACTTTGTGAAACTTAGTATGTATATCACAGAGCTAAGGGCTATATCATTAAAACATCTATGCCACCCAAGGACTCTAGGGATTGTATAGGAATATTTCAGTAAAACATCTATCGTACCCCATGCCTCCAGAATTTGTATAGGAATATTTCAGTAAAACATCTATCCCACCCCAGGACTCCAGGATTTGGATAGGAATATTTCAGTAAAACATCTATCCCACCCCAGAACTCCAGGATTTGTATAGGAATATTTCAGTAAAACTTCTATCGTACCCCAGGACTCCGGGATTTGTATAGGAATATTTCAGTAAAACTTCTATCGTACCCCATGCCTCCAGGATTTGTATAGGAATATTTCAATAAAACATCTATCCCACCCCAAGACTCCAGGATTTGTATAGGAATATTTCAGTAAAACATCTATCCCACCCCAGGACTCTAGGATTTGTATAGGAATATTTCAGTAAAACATCTATCCCACCCCAGAACTCCAGGATTTGTATAGGAATATTTCAGTAAAACATCTATCCCACCCCATGCCTCCAGGATTTGTATAGGAATATTTCAGTAAGACATCTATCCCACCCCAGGACTCCAGGATTTGTATAGGAATATTTCAGTAAAACATCTATCCCACCCCAGAACTCCAGGATTTGTATAGGAATATTTCAGTAAAACATCTATCGTACCCCATGCCTCCAGGATTTGTATAGGAATATTTCAGTAAAACATCTATCCCACCCCAGAACTCCAGGATTTGTATAGGAATATTTCAGTAAAACATCTATCCCACCCCAGGACTCCAGGATTTGTATAGGAATATTTCAGTAAAACATCTATCCCACCCCAGAACTCCAGGATTTGGATAGGAATATTTCAGTAAAACATCTATCCCACCCCAGAACTCCAGGATTTGTATAGGAATATTTCAGTAAAACATCTATCCCACCCCAGGACTCCAGAATTTGTATAGGAATATTTCAGTAAAACATCTATCCCACCCCAGAACTCCAGGATTTGTATAGGAATATTTCAGTAAAACATCTATCCTAAACCCGGACTCCAGGATTTGTATAGGAATATTTGTAAGTGATTTATTTTTTGAGTTATGGTGTCAATAAGACTGGAACAGCCCTATAAAAGCTGTCGACAAACTTTACGGTTCAGTATCTTTTCTTTAAATTTAATACAAATTTTGCCAAGAAATATTACATTTAGTACAAAGGGAAGTTTTTCAGACAAATAGTGATAGTGTAAGTAACTAGGTCTCTACCTAAAAATGTGTGAAATTAAAACAAAGTTCTAGTATGCCGTTAAGTAATGTATTTTATAACGAAGTTGTCTTTATGTACTATCCTCATGAAGAATTACTCAAGCACGCAGGAAAGTAAAGATTACGATCAATAAAAATCTATATATTTTCGGCTTAATTTTTCAGTATCAAAGACATATGATAAAATGAAATTTTGTGGAATTTGTAAATATATACAAACAAACTGACCTGATCAATGTATATTTCCAGAGGAGGGCCGTTGTAAGCTTTTACCAATTCTGAAGCATCATATGCCTGTTATAGAAAAATAACAATAAAAAAAAAACAATACAAATCAGATTGAATGATATAAAACTCTCTTGAATAAGGATTTCAATTTTGTGTATGATTAGTTTTCTTTATTAGTTAGAAATTTCCATAAATTACAAAATCTATGATAAAAATTTCAAAAATAACAGTTACAATAGAAAACTGACATAGTAATCATCATAAGATTAGATAGACATTGTTACATACAGTGAAATCCCTTTATTTCATAAATTGAATGGCTTATCTCAAACCGATATCTGCCGCTTCCCCCAAATGTTTGTTTCCAAGGAAACAGAGTAACATACCTTCCAATCATCCTTGTTATCACCGAGGTACCCAGAGAAAGCTTTTTGACCCCAGGGACACATCATGGGGTTACAGATAGGTGCAAATGCACTGACTGACTTGTATTTCCCAGGGTTCTTCAAGGCACACACCAATGCTCCATGTCCTCCCATGCTATTAGAGAAATCAGTATTAAATGAAATAAAAAGTGAAACAAAAATGAGACCTTATTTAAATCAGAGGGTAATTCATATTTTCTAGATTTACAGTTACTAACTAATCGACTGACGTACTTCATCACAAAGTTTATAAAATAGAGAAATACAATGTATGTTTATATTGATGATACAAGGACATCACTTTATGATAGCAATGAAACACCTACTACTTTTTTAACAAATAAACCTCAATGCTACCATCAAGTAAACAGGACAGATATCAATAATATGGAATGGTTGCAGAAAGTGACAAGCAGTTATCACCATGATCATTGTTAAATCTACATGCATAGTATTTTGATGGGACTCATAGAATTTCTGGAAATACTTCAACTTAATATTGTGGGACCCATCGTTTTCAGCAATAAAGCTGAAAAGGACTCAATATGAAAATAATCTGAAGTTGGACCCCTGCATAAAAATGCTTACATGCCCTGTCATATATATGTGATAATGGTACTAAATGGTACACACTTCCAAAGAGAGCTATATGCTCCAACATTTTGAATGTTTACACCTCTGGTTTAGCATCAAAACAGAGTCTAAGTAGATGATGGAATTATTTGCACAACAGTGTTTCACTATATAATTCGCACAGAAATAAAAACCATATCACATATACACACAAATTTGTGTACTCCAGGTACTTTCAGGAATAAAGAAATTTTAGTTCATGCCAATTTTATTTGTGAAAAATTATCTTTGTTTTTAGCCAAAAATATTGTAATTGTAATTTACAATAACATTAGCTTTGGTTATTGCCGAGCACCTAAGCTCCATGCATTCTATTTCTATATGAATATCTTTCTCCGGCATCAAGTCCTGTTGAGTAGACAAAATGCCATGAACATGTTAACAATGTGGAGCTTTTCTCAGACATAGAAGGAAAAAAGCCATGTTTTACCTGTGACCAAAAATGGACATTTTATCAGGATTCGCTGCAAAATTGTTGTTGATTAAGGCTGGCAACTGAAAAAAAAACCATATAAGCTCAAAGTTTTTTTAATAAAACTCCTCACTCTAACTTCAAGCAATATACAACCTATTACAAACATCTCACATTTAGATCCACCAGTAATATCAATGTGAAACTGACACTGCTTTCTATATTCTTCTCATCAGAGGTTAAAATTTGAAATCATATTCAGATTCCCGAAATCTTTATTTCATTTCAAAACAAAGTTCCCACTCATAAAACTTACTTCCTCTGTCACATAGGCGTACATTCTGTAGTTTGTTTTCCATTTGTCCTGAGTGGCATTAACATAGAAACCAGCCCCAGATCCAAAGTCATAGGAATCATCTTCTCCTTCAATATTACACCCCCCTACAAAACAAGGTCATCAAAGAAATCTAAAATGCTGCTTTAGATTAATACAACAAATTATAATTCAGTTTATAAAAGCACTTGCATTCAATTACTTTTTAACATTATTTTGAAATAATTTTGTGGCTTTCAATCAAATAGATTTCAAAACATTTTTACCTTTACTGAATTCAATATCATGGTAAAACCTACACCCATGAGAAAAAATTCAATCAACCTTTCAAACAAGAGGCATGCATTGCTCACCTGACTAATTCAACTATTCAGGCATTTAACAAAGAATTTAAAATATGACAAATATATTCTGGGTCCATGTCATGTTGGTAAACAGAAAACAGATTCACTATTTGTAAAAATTGCTTCAGAACATACTTGGACAATATCCTAGTAAAGAAAACGGACTTCTTAAAACTTATATCTCCTCAATTGGGCCCCACTCCTCCAAACCCAGGAGGCCAGGATCCAATGTTTATACAAAATTAATTCTCCTTCACTCATGAATGCTTCAAACCAAATTTTGAAGTAGGAGCAAACTTTCCCCTTTTGGGCAACATTCCTTAGGTCATTATTGGATTATTCAAAATCCAAATATTTGTAAAAAATGCTCACTTACTTGGACTTGTATCGGGAGCTACAATCATGAGCCCATTTTCTGCTGCAAACTTCTGACTTCCTGCTTTCGTTACAAAATTCTGCTCTGTACATGTCAATCCTAAAGGAAACAACACATTTAAACCATATTTTTACAACCAGTCTGGATCAAAAGGCCAGCATTCAGAGTATAGAGGTTATCATTAGACCCAGGGTGACAGTCTGTCATCATTTACTGATTCAGTCTACACACATTCACAGAATCAGCCTTTCCAATCAGCTCACATTCGCATGTCATATTTTAACAGTCAACCAACATCCACATGTTCAATCTTCAGTCAGCCAACATTCAGATATTCCAGTTTTACAGTCAACCCGCATTCACATGTTATAATTTCATAGTTAGCAAACATTCATAATTTTCAAAGTAAGTCCATATTAACAGTCATTCCATTTTCATAAATCAAGTCACATTTTCACAGTCAAAATACATTCACATGTTCAATATAGTTTTCACACTCAGCTAATATATACATATTCAATTTTCACAGTAAACCTACATGTTCAATATATATATATATATATATGTATCCCATATATGTAAATTTAAAGTCTACATTTTTCATACATCAATTTTCATTAATTGGTTAGTTTGTTCTCTACTTTCAACCACATGTTAACAGTCTACTTACATTGATCAGTCTCAATGAAGTTTATACTGTCTATATTCATAGGTTCACATCCTTCCTATGTTCAGTCTGTTTTCAATTACAGGTTCATCAAAGTTTGTCTATTTACATGTACAATGAATGTAGCACATGGCGGTCTGCCTCATATACTTACTTCACAAGTACTTAAGTCAGTCCACATTTACAAGATCAAAGTCTGATTCTTTCAAATGTCCCTGTCAGCCTATATCTACAAGTCCATACTAGGTATTGTGTAATTTTATAATTTTATAGCAATTATCTGAACCTTAGTTTCACTGATTGTACCTTACAGCAGGAAATTTGCCAAGTTTTACAGGAACACTCCTAGAACATGTGCCTTGGATAAAAGCTTCTTACCTGACAGCCAGTACACTACAGGAACCTTGCTATTTTCAGCCTGGGCAGGAATAAACACACCAAACCGCATTGTACACTTCAGCTCGGAACTACAACATTTAACACAATTATCCAATAACCAATATATAAATTACATTTCAAATGGTCGCCTCATATGTTCATAACTAAAATAAGACAAATCTTCTTTGATTGAATCAGCTGCTGCTTAAAAGTTACCATCTCATTTCACCATTTCACACCTAAATGTAATCAACTTAAGTATTGTGTAACTTTAAGAAGTAGGAGTTTGTATACAGATTTTTGCACAACAAAACTTAGATAAGTATCAATGACATTCCATCAGTTTTCCAAATCTTATAATTTACAGAGAATACATAACTTTAACAAGAGATCCCAGAGGGATCTTGGTGCCCACTATTGCCTGATCTTCATATGCTCTTTGAAAGTTGGATCTTTTCCCTTCTTTTCTCTGTTTTTGCTATTAATGTAAAGACATTTGAACATTCCTTTGCAGAAATAGTGATGAGACATGCCAAATCCAAAATGGCCACCTGGAAGCCATTTTGTTTTTTCTGATCAGTCCCAAAATCAAATGAGCACAAGGAGAGACAAAAGGGAACATATCTATGATATTTGAGAAATATCTATTCAGGGCTTAAAAAAATAGCAATAACACTCTTGACTTGGCAAAATCTGAGATGGCTGCATGTTGCCCATTTTGTTTTTTTCTGATCAGTACCAAAATCAAACAGGCACAATGTACTTGGGATCAAGAACAGCATACACATGAAATCTGTGAAAGATCTTTGCTGTAGTTTTCGATAACACACTTTCAAAGTCAAAATCTCAGATGTCCATCTGATCAGTCGCAAAATCACATTGGCAGAACTAGGAACCAAGGGGAACTTTCATTTGAAGTTTGAGAGAGATCCATCCAGTGCTTCATAAGAAATAGCAATAACAAACTTTCAAAATCCAAAATCAAAGATGGCCACCTGTCAGCCATTTAATTTCCTCTGATCAGTCCTAAAATTAGACGGGCACAACTAGGTACCAAAAGGAACCTATATATGAGATTTGAGAAAGATCTATACAGTAGTTCTCACGAAATAGCAATAACACTCTTGCAATGTCAAAATCTAAGATGGCTGCTTGTCGGCCAGTTTGTTTTTTTGATCAGTCCCAAAATCAAACAGGCACATCTAGGGATCAAGGATGTAGGAACTTAGTACATATGCAATTTTAGAAAGATCTATCCAGTACTTCATGAGAAATAAAAACTACCAAACATCGTTTACGGACAGATGGACGATGGATCATGGACAGCTGATGATGGTGGGCTAAAAAATATCATAAAATATAATTAGATGCTTATAAGTAAATTAAGCAATTGTTTCTTAAATAGAGCAATTTACCATACCTTTCATGGCTGAACACTTTCTGCCATCCTCCAAACATTTTGTTAGAAGAAACCTCTGTTAGTGCCATTTTGATAGTCTTTTTACTGTAGTTTCTGAAAAATACTGACATGAACAAGCATTTGATTAAAAAATGGAGGCATTAAAATACATGTTAGAGGTAGAGTGGAACTTCTCCAAACTGACCATGCATGAGACAGGAAAACCTGTCCACTTTAGGGTGGGTTCAGCTGGTAGAAGTGAAGCAGGTTGACTGGTTCAGACTCTGATATGATTGAACCGAATCAATTCTGTACATTACATTTACCATTTGGTTGACTTATAGCATTTACGATGCACTGAACTGAATACAGTAAAATAAAGCTGTGGTACTTGTATATATGTAGCTTTAAGTTGAAAAGAAATCTGTGCACTGCACAGCGATCTTGAAATTAACACTACACACTTGATATAGCCCCAATTGGATGGTCGGCTAGTTCAACAGTGTTACCAATCAATGTATTTAATGAATATATATTTTTGTTAATCAGGGTAAAAACATATCTTCATAAACAACATTCAACAATTCTTTTGTATGTGTTAAGATAATATCATTCAATTACCAAAGATTTAGATGGTTTTCTGTGTCAGTACTTATTTTCACTTTATCTGTAACGCCTCTCCCTTCTGTGAAATGATAGGCTCATTTGATATGATTTCATTATGTCATTGGAGATAAAAACTTTCGTTTATTGAAATCTTCCATATCAGGGTAGGTATTGTATACAAAGCCTATTCGTGACAGGTGTAAACGCCGGGGGCACAAAGCTTAGTGTCACCACAAGTGTTGATTTCATGATCGCTTATCAGAACTGGGGTCTTGATTGTTCAGGTAAGGCCGGGTTTTGGAAGCGATTTTCAGGATATTTCAATCATTTCAGACACAAAATTGGTTTAGTATTCAGAATAAAGAGGGATTAGTATTAGGAAGGTTTTTATTACTTTAATAAAGAGGTTGTCATTCATCAGTTAAGGGATCCCAGATTGAGAACATCAATATATATGGGTACTTAATTACTTATGACATCAGCATAAACATACCTGTACATCATCAGTACATGTACTTCACTGTTTACCTGTACACTGCCATTTTTTCTATTTTTTTTTTTTTTCTAAAGTCTGCTTTCAAAGAAAAGTAAAGAGTATCAGTTTAAATTGATCAATGCTCCACAAAAACAACTTTATCAGACACAAACAAATTACTAAAGGGCAATAATTCTGTAATTACAGGGTTACAGGCCCTGAATTTGGTAAAGTGTACATTAACTTAGTATGATCAATGTATATACCAAGTTTTATGATCCTTGTGGATAAAGTTATTCTCCATACACAAAATAATGGACAGACATATAAATTGGTGAACATGTGCAATTCCCCCTCCCCTCCTCCCCCGGATTTTCAGGTAGCATAAAAAGGCTTTATGCGAGGTATATTGTAGGGTTATGCTGACATGACTCCAACAATGTTAGTGGTTGAATCGTGTGTCACCTTTGAGCACTGTAGCTAGTCTGGATGAGTAAATCACATTTTCTACGGATTTTCCCTGGCCCTGAAAAAACTGACTTCAAAAATTGAAAAAGGACACCCAAACTTAATGAAGATTTATTCTATTTATTTCATAAATGATGTGAGTAACGGTACTCTTACATTTCATAAAACTGAGGGTTCCTGTTTTTTGTTATTTTTGTTTTCTATTGTATTGCTTTAAACAAGGCCCTGCACTGTTACTGTGCGTCCCTTAACGTTGAGGGCGGTGATAAGGGGCAAGTCGTTTCGACACCTAGTTGTTTCGGTACTTCCAAAATAAGTCGTTTGGGTATTTTAAAAATGTTTTGATTTATGTATTTAATTTGGTGTTTTAAGTTTTTTTTTTTCATTAATAAAAATTGCTCAATACGTTACTGAAATACTGTTCACTCAAAATGCAAACTTAGATATGTGAATCATTTTGCAAGTACCAAAACGACTTTTTTAAATACTGAAACAACTGGGTGCCGAAACAACTTGGTATCAAAATGACACCGAATTCGGTGATAATGTACAATGTAGGTCACACCTTCCATGCGAATATCTATCACTTTGCGATTATATTCCAACAAGATACGGTGAAATTTTCACCAAATGGTACATCATTTCATAACTTTTCTCGGGCAAAGCGATTGACATTGATGCTATATAACAGCACTTACCAAATTTGGTGGCTTTCTTGTGGACTTCGATAAAAACACGCCGGCAGCCGAACAACATCTGTAATTTCAACCGGACATCAATACACATTTTTTTCACAACTACTATAAAATCTTTTATTATCATAAAATTTCGAAATACTTCTTTTTGCGACCTTCCTTGGATATTTTGGAGGTCAGATTGTGACCATTGATTCAGACCACCCTGCATTTAAGCATCACTAGACCCATATATTGCACGCGGAGTAATTTTACGTGTATGCACATTTTCTAACATGGCCGCTAAGGAAAGGACGTGGACGTGGAAATGGAATATATATCTTTTAACATGACAAAATAGACCGTTTTAAGCCGACAAAACAACTGAAAATAGTAAAATGGCAGAGTATAATCAAGTAAAGGCCGCTGAAGGGAAAGGAACTATTCTGGTTTATCTCCAATGCTGTGAGTATCATTTGTTTACATAAACTTCACATGTTTTGTACATAACTGCCGAAAGTGAAAGTAGACATTTAGCAACATGCTTAGATTTACTTGCGTTATGCTCTGTAGTCCAATTAATAAAGTCACATTTTGTTAAATTCAGATACACTTGTAGGAAAATATTTATAATTTTTGATTTCATTTGATATTATTAGTCATTTTATTTCCAAGTAGATAATGTTTACTGGCAGTCAAAACACTACAGATCTATGGATTTAAAACTACAAAATCTATTTGTTTTACAACAGGTGCTAAAGAAATTATTTCAGCTTATACTTAACACTCTTATTGTCCCAGATCTAAGTGCTGGTAGAGGTCTGGGAGGAAACTAGAGTACATGGGGAATCTCACATCTGCATGGGAAATAACATGTTCTTGTACATATTTTTTGTATGCCACTGCAGATACATACAATTTACATACAAACATGTATTCATTTCATTACATATAAATGGGTTTTCATTTCTTGGATTTGATAATAATATTAACGTTATGAACTATTATATAATGAAGCATTATGAAATGCTTAAACATTTTGTGATTTTAGGACTCAAATATTTGAGTCTTGGAATCACGCTTTTCCTTTGGTGCTCACTCAGATTTTAGACTTATCAATATTTTGGAATTGGACTTACCTTAAAAAGTACTAAAATAAGTGTAATCATGTAATGTATTAACTAGTACACATGTTCTAATCTACAAAATAATGCATGTGTAAAAACATTTCATTTGTTGGTATACATTGATTTTAAAGATATTAATGTTTTTGTAACTGTCAAAGGTAAAAAAGTAGTTGCAGTTTTCTTTCCTTCCATATTTTGCATCAAAGTAAGCTGGTGCATGGCATCTGCAATGTGTCAATCTGTTTAAATGTATATTTTTTGACATGTAATATTTATCTGAATATCAAAGAAACATTTGAAATAAAAGGCTAGTATTATGTTGAAATGATCATAATGTGTTCAAATACATATCCATGACTGATTTTAAAGTGACAGGAACAGAAAGGGTTAGAGTTGTATATATACTTTATACAACTAGTGCTGCTATTTCATATCTGGTGAGGGTACAGTGGGCAGTGATAATTTTTTTCATTCATTATTTTCTGTGATGAAGAACTTCATTTTACTAAAATTAATTACTTAATTTGACTGTCAATTAAGGTCTTAGAGATGTCATAAATCTTCAACTTTTGTATTTTTTGTTTTAATCTTTTGTAAACACATTTAACAACACAATTTGAAACCTGATATCTAATTACATTAATTAATCAAAGAAATTTCTCTCTTTCAGATTTTGTGACCATAGCAACTATTTTAGGAACAGGTATTCTGGGTAAGTGTCCATAGTTCAAGTTGACCTATTTAATAATTTTTAGGTCACCTACATGTAAGACAAAGTCTCATGGTGATCTCTTGCGATCACTTTTAGTCGTGTGTCCATAAACTTTTAACATTTTCAATTTTTTCTCAAAAACCCCAGAACTGATTTTGATGAAATTTTGCAGAAACCTGCTCTGGCCTAAGACAAGCCAAAAAAGTGAATTATACAGGGTCAGAGGGGCTGGCCAAAATGAGTCAAATTGACCCAAATTTAAAAAATCCTCTTTTCAACACCAAGGCATCGTAGAATCAAGTAGTGCTTGGAATAGATGAAAGTGTCTTAAGTTGTTTTACCAAAGTTGAGAGTGTTATTTGTTTAATTTCCATTGAAAATATTTAAAACTTGGTTAGCATTATGAACAAAAGATGACTGCTTGATTTTATAAATCTTCTTCTCATCATCTAGGTTTGGTAGAATCAAACATTCTTCATGGATAGAAACGTAGAAAGGTGCTTTACCAAAATTGTGAATATTATGGCCCCAGGTTCTCACATTTCTCTGTAGGGCAGAAGTAGGATTAACTATAGTTCATATAGGAAAAGTAGATTTTTTTAACACAATTTGTTTAGTTTCCATAAGAAATATTTCAAACTTCAGGTAGTTTTACAGTTAAACGTAAAATATTATTTTTGTTCTTTTTTGTTTTGTTCTTGAAGCCATATTTAATTATTTTTATTGAAACAAGAATAGTGTAAATAAGAAGACCTTAATTAAACTTTGACAGGACTTCCAGTGACACTAAATGAGGCTGGACTGTATCCATTCCTTGTCTCCTTCCTCATTGGGGCAGGCATGCAGGTTAGTCAGTTGAAACCATTATTTCCATAAACATAACTTTGTGTTGATTAGTCGGCACTTCTTTCATAATCTGAAGTAATTCCATAGTTATATTTTAGAGACAGATTTTGTGCTGTCAAATTATGTAAGAATGATGATGGCTGTTTCAGATAAATTTTGATGCAATATCATCTAATAATTTTACTTTGGTGATATTATAACAGTGGTATAGTCATAGAAATATTAAGCTTCACTTAGTGGATGTATTTTCTTGCAGATGTTGTTGATTTACTTCTTCACGGAATTATTACAGTTGGCACATGCCACGCAACAGCAAATCGGAAAGGTATTGTTTGTCTTTAATGTGTAAATATAATTTTTGTTATTTGTATTACATCATATGGTAAATTTTAACAATATGGATATATCAGATTTGTGTGCTTCTCTATTAATTTAAGTCACACAACTTGGTGTTAGTTAATTTATATTCTCAAATCATGACTAGTTGCAACTCACTTATCCATTTTATCATAATATGAAGCTGCAAACTCACTATTCAATATAGTATTTACAATTTCTATATTGAATGTGCACCTGCATGGGGCTGGGGAGGATACCTTAAGGAAAATTGATGCTGGCAGAACTAATATATACGGTGCAATTAAGAGTATACAATAACATTATATTAGAAATGTGCATTTCTGTTTTTGAATAATGCTTGAGTCCTCTTTAAAGTTAAGTTTCAAATTGATTTTGAACACCTGTCAAGGCAACAGTTGAAAATCATTAATTACTTACTAAATATAAAAGTACAAAATTATAATAAAAAACAAAAAAAATGAGACAACATAAAAAGATATTTGAAAAAGCATCTCTTTTGTCCTTTATGGAAGAATAGAAAACAATAATAAGGTAACTGTTTTAGTCACGTGGCCCTTCAGATGGATATGTTTGTTTATTGATTGTAACTAATCCTCTACGTTGGATTAACGAAGAGATTTATCTGTAATGCTGTTTCAGGAAGAATTAGTTCCCTTGAATGAATTAACAGATGATGCTGGTTACCTTGCCTCTGATGAGGACCAGGAAAGTGGTAAGGCTTTGTAGAAATTCTTGTAATTCACTTTTTAAGAGTGATATTCACTGAATGTGAAAGTAACAATAGTATTTTCATTTGGTTTATTTCTAACAATTAAACATCGGTCTCTAAGTTCCTGTTTCATTTGTTGTCATGCTGTATACTGAGAACTTTCCTTCAATGAAATATTTATCCTTTACTTGTGAAGTCTATACACATCCAGTGAAAATTTCACCTTTACATATAATTATACTTTACATTGTATGTTGCATACATTTACTTGTTTAAGTGTATGGTTATAACAGTGGTATAAATTTGACCTTATATAAAGTTCAACTGTATGAATTTCAGACATACAGTAATACAGGCAACATAAAAAGTTTTGAGAACAAATCTAAGAGATGTATTCTGTGCTGTTTCAGTATGATAACACTTTTGTTATATTTCTCTCCTATACATTTTATAAGATAAAAGTTTATAAGCTGATAGAAAATGACAAATTATTATTTGATACAATACTAATAATATGCCAGCCAATGTAAAGACAAAATGTTTTCCGTAGAAATCATATATTAAATACACTGTATTTACAGTAATTTATCAAATGTTTTCTTAGAAATATCTGTTATTCTATGATAAAAACATTGTAGTTACAGTAATTTATCAACTTTATGTACCAATGACAGTGATTTCACATACCAACCATGAATAGATATGTCTCAGATACTCAGATATAAGATGCACACAATTTTGACATTAGATTGTAACTTATTGCAGATGACAATGAAAATGATAAAGTTATTGAGAGGAAGTCCACAAGAAAAAAGCAAGGAGTCATGTCATGTAATGATGGAGTAAAGCCACCAAATCTCCATCTCCTTGGTGAATTGTTTCTGGGCTGTGGATGGAGACAGATGTTTGACATCCTCCTGGTGCTACAGTTGTAAGTGTTTGACATCCTCCTGGTGCTACACTTGTAAGTGTTTGACATCCTCCTGGTGCTACAGTTGTAAGTGTTTGACATCCTCCTGGTGCTACACTTGTAAGTGTTTGACATCCTCCTGGTGCTACAGTTGTAAGTGTTTGACATCCTCCTGGTGCTACAGTTGTAAGTGTTTGACATCCTCCTGGTGCTACAGTTGTAAGTGTTTGACATCCTCCTGGTGCTACACTTGTAAGTGTTTGACATCCTCCTGGTGCTACAGTTGTAAGTGTTTGACTCCTCCTGGTGCTACAGTTGTAAGTGTTTGACATCCTCCTGGTGCTACAGTTGTAAGTGTTTGACATCCTCCTGGTGCTACACTTGTAAGTGTTTGACATCCTCCTGGTGCTACAGTTGTAAGTGTTTGACATCCTCCTGGTGCTACAGTTGTAAGTGTTTGACATCCTCCTGGTGCTACAGTTGTAAGTGTTTGACATCCTCCTGGTGCTACACTTGTAAGTGTTTGACATCCTCCTGGTGCTACAGTTGTAAGTGTTTGACATCCTCCTGGTGCTACAGTTGTAAGTGTTTGACATCCTCCTGGTGCTACAGTTGTAAGTGTTTGACATCCTCCTGGTGCTACAGTTGTAAGTGTTTGACATCTTCCTGGTGCTACAGTTGTAAGTGTTTGACATCCTCCTGGTGCTACAGTTGTAAGTGTTTGACATCCTCCTGGTGCTACAGTTGTAAGTGTTTGACATCCTCCTGGTGCTACAGTTGTAAGTGTTTGACATCATCCTGGTGCTACAGTTATAAGTGTTTGACATCCTCCTGGTACTACAGTTGTAAGTGTTTGACATCCTCCTGGTGCTACAGTTGTAAGTGTTTGACATCCTCCTGGTGCTACAGTTGTAAGTGTTTGACATCCTCCTGGTGCTACAGTTGTAATTGTTTGACATCCTCCTTGTCTAGCAGTTTTTGACATTCACTTAGTCCTACAATAATCAGTGTTTGACATCCTTTACCTTCTACAGTTGTAAGTGTTTGACATCCTTCTGACTCTGCAATTGCAAGTGTTTGACATCCTCTTGGTGTAACAGTATTAATTGTTTGACATCCTCCTGGTGCTAGAGTTGTAAGTGTTTGACATCCTCCTGGTGCTACAGTTGTAAGTGTTTGACATCCTTCTGGTGCTAAAGTTGTAAGTGTTTGACATCCTCCTGGTGCTACAGTTGTAATTGTTTGACATCCTCCTTGTCTAGCAGTTTTTGACATCCACTTAGTCCTACAATAATCAGTGTTTGACATCCTTTACCTTCTACAGTTGTAAGTGTTTGACATCCATATGACTCTGCAATTGTAAGTGTTTGACATCCTCTTGGTGTAACAGTAGTAAGTGTTTGACATCCTCTTGGTGTAACAGTAGTAAGTGTTTGACATCCTCTTGGTGTAACAGTAGTAAGTGAATGACATCCTCATGGTTCTGCTCTATATCATTTATTGCTAGTTCTTTACATTAAGTATATTTTGATGAGACTTTAACATACATTGTAAGTGATCCTTGACCCCTATTCTATTATGTTTATTGTGCTATGATTATTTTTTGTCTCTGATATAATTATTTTGTTGACATCTTTGCAATTGATGTTTTAACTAAGATCTTTGTTTTCTGCAGTATTGCTCTCCAGATCAGCTATGCCTTGGCAGGAAGTGAGGCGTATGCAGAACTGATAGGTGTAGAGTAAGCAGCTGTTTACATTATCTCCTATCTCTGTTGTTTATATCTTATTTCAATCAAAAACAAACTCCGTGAAAATAATTCAAACATTTACTGAAACCCTGAAGAATCAGGTCCAGTCGCCTTCGTCATACACCCTTTAGAATGTTAGGACGCAACATGCTTGTTAAAGTGAAAACAAATTCTTTGACAGTTTTTTTTATGAAGCAACTGCAAAATCCTCATTATTTGTATAATGTAACACTTGTAGAAAGACATTCAGCTACTGCATTGTTATATCACTTGATCAATGTAGATATAAAATGTGTCAGACAGAAGGTAAGATGAAGTGAAATATTGCCTCATCCTAACATCTATATTTCCTCCTTGCAGGCCTATTTATGTGATCCCAGTATTTGTTTGGGTTCTCACACTGGCGATCGTTTTTGCCTTGAGATTTGTTCAGCCAGTTGTCTCGGTGTTCACTTTTTTCAAAGGATCTTTGCTCTTGGGAACTGTAAGTTATATAATTATTACAGTGCTGTTTAAAGTTATTTGTTGAACTAAGAATCTCATTCTATCACTTAGTAGAGCATACATGCTGGAGTATTTTACAGGTAATTTATAACTTTAACCCCAACCTGTAACTTGAGATAAGATACCATATATTTGGTTATTTTCATGGGTCAAAATTTTGTTGTTAAAATGATCAATTATATTATTAACATATTAATAAAATTTGCAATCTGAATTCAAAACACATTGAATACACATGTGTCTCAGTATTTCACAGATTTAATTTTCCTGATCATGTTAATGTATCACAAAGAGCGAAAATGTTGTCTTCAGAAGTAGGCAGCTATACACAATATCTGGCCAGTATACTTGGTAAAGAACCAACCCATTAGCTGCTGCTGTTCAGCAGATGGAATCCTGTTTCAATGTTCTACAACATGTTCCTGACTCTTTAATGAGTAACTATCTATCCTAGAAATCAGGCGCCCATTAAATTTTTGTTTTTGTGAAAATCCATGAAATTAGAGCCCACAGAAAAAAAAAACTACTCAAATTTTATAGTAGTTGTTCAACTTAATTGTTGGAACAAAATTCAAGTGTGAAGTGTTTTAAACCTGATCTGTAAGTAAACAATTCTCATCAAACAATTAACTGTGAACTTGTAATTTCCATTGTCCTAGGTGATAGCGACATTCTATGTGGGGGCAGAGGTCAACAGAGACATACATAATGACTTCACAGCCATCGGAGCTCCCTTCCTAATGGGAACTGTTGCCTTGGGTAAAACTTGATTGATTTTCAACTTTATTAGGCATTTGATGATTATTGTAAAATTCAGATGTACGTGTATGTTAGCCGTTAAGGACGGAAACTTCAAATTTTTCATCCAATTCTAGACATGCCATTAAATTGGATTATTTTGTAGAAATCCAAATTGTCTTTCCAATATAATTAAAAGTCAAAGGAAGATGAGTTTGAAATATTTTTTATGTGTTGTACTTACATGTATCATAGGCTTATGAGACATGAAATTTTGAATATGTCATAATCCCCATTGGGAATCTAAAATAAAAATTTTTACAGAAACAGTTTAAGAATATAGAATAGACAAAGCAGAATATCTGGTTTAACAGGTCTGTAAATCAAGGTGTTCCTGATGCTTTAGACCTATTAAAAGTTACAAACTTAATTGATGTGAATTCTACTGATAATTATTCTTTGATATTCTGTCGTCAGGGGGAGTGATAAACACCATGCCGTTGATGTATAGTAAGATCAGTCCTGTTGCTAATCAGGTGAGAAACTTTCCTTAGAAAATTAATTTGAATACAATGCTTTGTTTCAAGGGAAGTGATAAGTCTTTGAGCATATATGACTGGAAACAAAATCAGCTGTTAGTTAAAGAAGACATGTCATTGACTGTAGACATTATTTTCTATCAGACATATTTCATGGCCATTGGTGATACTGTTCAATGAAGAAAAAAATTTGTATGTCTCTGAAAAGTGAAATTTAATGAGAGGAATTTTACTGATTATGAAAAATTAATTACATAATTGACATTGTTTCTGTCTTCTTGAGTATCCAAATACAAGTGTCTAATCAGGACCTTGTTTCTGAAGACAGTCTTCCTGAGTATCCAAATACAAGTGTCTAATCAAGACATTGTATCTGTCTTCCTGAGTATCCAAATACAAGTGTCTAATCAGGACATTGTATCTGTCTTCCTGAGTATCCAAATACAAGTGTCTAATCAGGACATTGTATCTGTCTTCCTGAGTATCCAAATACAAGTGTCTAATCAGGACATTGTATCTGTCTTCCTGAGTATCCAAATACAAGTGTCTAATCAGGACATTGTATCTGTCTTCCTTAGTATCCAAATACAAGTGTCTAATCAGGACATTGTATCTGTCTTCCTGACTATCCAAATACAAGTGTCTAATCAGGACATTGTATCTGTCTTCCTGAGTATCCAAATACAAGTATCTGTCTTCCTTAGTATCCAAATACAAGTGTCTAATCAGGACATTGTATCTGTCTACCTGAGTATCAAAATACAAGTGTTGACTCGAGAAGAATGTCTGGAAATATTCAAATGTGGTGATTGACAATATATATTTCCACTGTAGACATTTTTCTTAACACAGTAATTTTTGTTGTTCAAGATTCCTTTAAATGTATATTTTCATCTTACAATTCTCACTTTAAGGGGTGGATACTCTCATTTTTAGCCTGACAGTCATTCCAAACACTGAAATTCTCTAAGACCTCAAAGATTAATGTACATGTAAATTTAATGATGATACAATATATATGTATGGATTTTTCTTTTCAGGTTAAGTATTTCCGCTTAGCTGTGATTCTAGGCTTGACAACTTGTACTGTTTTAAATGTATTATGGTAAGTCTCTGATATACATTGTCCTACATTGTACATTTTTTATATTTGCTGGCTTCCCATCATTTTCTCATGTCAATTTAAACAGTGAAGATTGCATTTTATCTAAACTGTCTTCAAACGCAGTAGTAATTTCATATAGAAATGGCAAGAGATATTATTTTGAAAGAACTATATACATGTATATTATATTTTGTGTGTTTCTGTCTTGGAGGTAATAATTAGGGGCTCTGGTATACCTTTTGACATAATGTTTCAGGTGCTGGGCAGTGCTGGACATTGTCCCACAATTAGCTGTTTCACCTTGTAATATAAACCAGAACCTATCTGCAGAGAGGAAGACACTGGATAGTAGCTCATACTGTGAAAATCCTATATCACTGGAGGGGTAGGTATCTCCACATCCTTGTCTACTGACAGTAGTCTGTACTGTGATAATCCTATGTCATGGAGGGGTAGGTAATTCTACGTCCTTGTCTACTGATAGTAGTCTGTACTGTCATAATCCTATATCACTGGAGGGGTAGGTAATTCTACTTCCTTGTCTACTGATAGTAGTCTGTACTGTCATAATCCTATATCACTGGAGGGGTAGGTAATTCTACGTCCTTGTCTACTGATAGTAGTCTGTACTGTCACAATCCTATATCACTGGAGGGGTAGGTATCTCTACATCCTTGTCTACTGATAGTGGTCTGTACTGTCATAATCCTATATCACTGGAGGGGTAGGTAATTCTACATCCTTGTCTACTGATAGTAGTCTATACTGTCACAATCCTATATCACTGGAGGGGTAGGTATCTCCACATCCTTGTCTACTGATAGTAGTCTATACTGTCACAATCCTATATCACTGGAGGGGTAGGTATCTCCACATCCTTGTCTACTGATAGTAGTCTGTACTGTGATAATCCTATATCACTGGAGGGGTAGGTAATTCTGCTTCCTTGTCTACCGATAGTAGTCTGTACTGTCACAATCCTATATCACTGGAGGGGTAGGTATCTCCACATCCTTGTCTACTGATAGAAGTCTGTACTATTGATGACCAACTAATGTCTACCTTTTTCAGGTTTTATTATAAACATATTATTTGCTCCACTTGAGGAATAAAATGTAGCCATATGTGTTTCAATACTTGGATCAAAAGATCTGACTAATTAATGTATGGTGCTCTACAGAGAATGTCCTTTGTTTATATCTATTTCAATTGAAAAAAATACATTTTTATTAAACATTTTAATAGTAGTCTATTTGTCTTACAGGTCTGCAGCAGTTGGAGAAATTTCAACAATACCTCTTACAAAAGTGAGTTATCAACTATTTAGTTAGTGATTACTAGTCCAACTGATTATCGATTCACTTTATCTTGGTTTGGTTTAAATCGTTTTATCTAAAATTATATCTAAAAAAAAAGAAAAGAAAAAACACTGGAAGGGTGGTCATGTTCTTGATCAGATTAAGAATAATTCAAAGTGAGTTTGAATTTCAAGATTTCAAGATGGTGACGAATTAACCTCCTTTTACTGTCTGGCTACAGACTGAATTACTGTTTTTTTACTGTGTGGCTATAGAACTGGATTTCCTGTCTTTTTACAATGTGACTTTAGAACAAAATAATCCTCCTGTTACTGTGTGGCTACAGAACTACAATGTATATGTATTTATTTGTCAGATAATAGAGATGAACTTCCCTCCTTTTACTGTGTGGCTATTAAGATAAATTACTGTTGTTTTACTGTGTGGATATAGAGACACATTACTGTCCTTTTACTGTGGGGTTATGTGAAGCTATATGGATGATTTACATTCATTTTACTGTGTGGCTACAGAACTACAATGTATCTGTATTTACTGTGTCACTGTTGCTACAGAACTACCATGTATCTGTATTTACTGTGTCACTGTGGCTACAGAACTACCATGTATCTGTATTTACTGTGTCACTGTGGCTACAGAACTACCATGTATCTGTATTTACTGTGTCACTATAGCTACAGAACTACCATGTATGTGTATTTACTGTGTCACTGTGGCTACAGAACTACCATGTATCTGTATTTACTGTATCACTGTGGCTACAGAACTGCCATGTATCTGTATTTACTGTGTCACTGTGGCTACAGAACTACCATGTATCTGTATTTACTGTGTCACTGTGGCTACAGAACTACCATGTATCTGTATTTACTGTGTCACTGTGGCTACAGAACTACCATGTATGTGTATTTACTGTGTCACTGTGGCTACAGAACTACCATGTATGTGTATTTACTGTGTCACTGTGGCTACAGAACTACCATGTATCTGTATTTACTGTGTCACTGTGGCTACAGAACTACCATGTATCTGTATTTACTGTGTCACTGTGGCTACAGAACTACCATGTATCTGTATTTACTGTGTCACTGTGGCTACAGAACTACCATGTATGTGTATTTACTGTGTCACTGTGGCTACAGAACTACCATGTATCTGTATTTACTGTGTCACTGTGGCTACAGAACTACCATGTATCTGTATTTACTGCGTCACTATAGCTACAGAACTACCATGTATCTGTATTTACTGCGTCACTGTGGCTACAGAACTACCATGTATGTGTATTTACTGCGTCACTGTGGCTACAGAACTACCATGTATCTGTATTTACTGTGTCACTGTGGCTACAGAACTACCATGTATCTGTATTTACTGTGTCACTGTGGCTACAGAACTACCATGTATCTGTATTTACTGCGTCACTATAGCTACAGAACTACCATGTATCTGTATTTACTGTGTCACTGTGGCTACAGAACTACCATGTATGTGTATTTACTGCGTCACTGTGGCTACAGAACTACCATGTATGTGTATTTACTGTGTCACTGTGGCTACAGAACTACCATGTATCTGTATTTACTGTGTCACTGTGGCTACAGAACTACCATGTATGTGTATTTACTGTCACTGTGGCTACAGAACTACAATGTATGTGTATTTACTGCGTCACTATAGCTACAGAACTACCATGTATCTGTATTTACTGTGTCACTGTGGCTACAGAACTACCATGTATGTGTATTTACTGCGTCACTGTGGCTACAGAACTACCATGTATGTGTATTTACTGTGTCACTGTGGCTACAGAACTACCATGTATGTGTATTTACCGTGTCACTGTGGCTACAGAACTACCATGTATGTGTATTTACTGTGTCACTGTGGCTACAGAACTACCATGTATGTGTATTTACTGTGTCACTGTGGCTAGTGTGTATTTACCGTGTCACTGTGGCTACAGAACTACCATGTATGTGTATTTACTGTGTCACTGTGGCTACAGAACTACCATGTATGTGTATTTACTGTGTCACTGTGGCTACAGAACTACCATGTATCTGTATTTACTGTGTCACTGTGGCTACAGAACTACCATGTTTGTGCATTTACTGTGTCACTGTGGCTACAGAACTACAATGTATCTGTATTTACTGTGTCACTGTGGCTACAGAACTGCAATGTATCTGTATTTACTGTGTCACTATAGCTACAGAACTACCATGTATCTGTATTTACTGTGTCACTGTGGCTACAGAACTGCAATGTATCTGTATTTACTGTGTCACTGTGGCTACAGAACTACAATGTATGTGTATTTACTGTCACTGTGGCTACAGAACTACCATGTATCTGTATTTACTGTGTCACTATAGCTACAGAACTACCATGTATCTGTATTTACTGTGTCACTATAGCTACAGAACTACCATGTATCTGTATTTACTGTGTCACTGTGGCTACAGAACTACCATGTATCTGTATTTACTGTGTCACTATAGCTACAGAACTACCATGTATCTGTATTTACTGTGTCACTGTGGCTACAGAACTACCATGTATCTGTATTTACTGTGTCACTGTGGCTACAGAACTACCATGTATCTGTATTTACTGTGTCACTATAGCTACAGAACTACCATGTATCTGTATTTACTGTGTCACTGTGGCTACAGAACTACCATGTATCTGTATTTACTGTGTCACTGTGGCTACAGAACTACAATATATCTATTTATTTGACAGATAATAGAGAAGAACTACCCCTCCTTTTATTGTGTCACTATGACTACAGATCTACAATGTATCTATTTATTTGACAGATAATAGAGGAGAACTACCCCTCCTTTTACTACGTGGCCTTATTGGTAGAGATATTTATCATGGTCAGCATCACTGTGTCCTTCCTCACCATTGGAGCAGTACTACATCATACCTGTAAGTAGCTGTATAATCGGACACTTGTTTATATAACAATGACAATAATTTCACAATTCACACAGAACTACATCCTCATCTTAATCCCCCTCCCCACCTCAATTACACCTATACACCCAACCTTACATAAATATCTGCCACCATCTAGAATTATACAACCTCCCCATTTTTCTAGAATGTTCCCTGCCTGTATATATCCTCCTGTATTCCATTTCCACAATTCCATTCAGTATCCCCTGGGGGGCGTCCACTCGACTTCCTCTCATTTCACTCAGTATTACTCACATGTTCCTTCTGCCTAGAATTACACTTAACATCCCACTCCACCCAGAATTACAAACACCTCCCCTTGTACACATACAAGATAATATTTGAAAATCTATAATGCTTTTTTCTCATAGAGGAGAAAGTTGTATTCTGTTTTTAGATGTCGTAGTTGTTGTTGTTTGTTATCAGTACAGGGTTGGGTTGACTCAGTCTCGGCGAGGAAGCGATCACACTTTAGCGGTAATACCAAGGAAGTCACGGGATGTTGTACTCAACATTTGTAAGTTATACAACAAGTTATTACCCTTCATCTGTATCTTGCTGGAATGTTAATTGTCATAGCCTGAATCTGAACACTGCAAATGTAATATTCAAAAGTCACATTCCTGATGTGGTCCTTATTATATACAAGTAACAAAGTCCTTCTGTATTTATTTTCTTGTTTCAAAATCCAAAATCTCTTATCTCTTCAAGCAATCCAAATCCTTGTTATTGAAAACAATCCAAAAATCCTGTTCATTGAAAACAATCCAAAACCCTGTTCATTGAAAACAATCCAAAACCCTGTTTATTGAAAACAATCCAAAACCCTGTTTATTGAAAACAATCCAAAACCCTGTTTATTGAAAACAATCCAAAACCATATTTCTTCAGAAATTCTCTCCCTTTTCAGAGCAATAAAAAGTTTTTGCTCCAAACACAGAAATACAAAATTTCACATTAGTTCTTTAATGAACAACTAAGAAGATAAACACTTTCAGAAAAGTAAAAAATTGTGTCCTTGAGAACGACTAGAATAATGGAACTAGGTGGATACATTGGTAATACTTTACAAAAGGATGTGCAGTGTACCAAAATCAAGCCCAAATCCTGGTAATTACATAATTAATGCCCTTTGTTAAATTTTGTGTCCAATAAAAGCTGTTTTTAAATGTTTCTGTATCAATATTTATTTCTACGATATATGTTTATTTGTAGTTGGTGTCATTCTGCCCTTTCCCTAGCTGTGTTTGGGATAGTTTTTGCAGTCGCCATGTTGGATCCTCAGGTAACTTTAACCAATATTCATTAACAAGTTTTAAAAATTCTATTATGGAAACATTGTAAGTGAATAATGTATTTTACAATCATGATTATATGGATTGATATTGATATATATTTACATTTTACAATTTATGTAATATCATACATTGTATGTATGGTCCACCTTTTTTATACTGTATAATTAATTATGTAGTAACTTTTTTATTATTTTTTATTTTCTAGGGATTTGTTGACATGTTGGAGAAATTTTCATCCTTTACTCTTAATTTGGAAGCTGGTGTGTTTGTATTTTTAATGTTATTACGAGCACGAAGGAAGGACAATAAAAGGTACGATTAAGTTATACATTATCATTACATCAGGTGGGTAATACTGGTCTAGTTACTCTTTATTTTAAATACATGTAACCATTTCGACACATTTTAAAAATTATTCTACCAAGTGTATTGCACTTTATTTAAGATTACCCTGGTGATAGTATGTGTGAAATTGCCAAATGACAGAAGAGTTTCTAGAATTAATGTTAATAAGGATGTTGTACTATAGTTTGAGGCTATAGATTAAGATTAATTAAGATCTATTCTTTTCAATATGATATCCAAAAGTTGTACATTGTAATGCCAATGTTAGATATGACACAAATAGGAGGTGTTTTTATGTCTATAATAAAAGCAAATATTTTTAATAAAACATGTTATCAAATTTCATCATCTTAACATCTGATTGTTTGGTATAGTATTGTCAATGTCATTTTCTTTATCTGCCGTTTGTTTTATGAAATGTATCAGATATACAAAATGTATATTGTGTTAAGTGCTATTGATATAAATAAGGATGAATCAATCCAACAGGCTCGAGGCGGGTCGGCAATGTTTTATTTGGTAGTTTGTCTGCCAGTTCCACCCTCAAATTTGGGCTTCATCAGGACCAACTACCACATAAAACATTGAAGAACTCCAGTCTGTTGGATTGATTCATCCTTTAAGCTTGCCCCTTCTAACCAATCTCTGCATACCCTCGGGTATCCAAGCGAGAGGTGAAGAACTTTAGATCCTCCATTGATAACAGCAAGGTTGCTCTCACCTTTTATATAGTAACTATTTATTGTTATATTAAATGTCATTTTTGATGTGTGTAGATGCAAATCATATTATCTCCAATGCTGTTTGTTATTTAAACATCATGCCATAACTTTGATACTCTTTAAAAACAAGCTGAATGTTTGTAAACATTTAAAGTACAAGCCTTATTTGTCACAGCTATTTGTTGTATTTTCTACCTCATATGCTGAAAATTTTTTTTGTTGTTTTCTTTTCAGATTTCTAAAGATTCCTTTGCCAATCCCTAGCTCATTACGGTGGCTACAGTTTTTAATTCCGCTGTATTTCGGTTTTGCTGTGATATATGACTTGTACAACACTGTGCGGGACTTTATATCGAACGGATCTGGAGATTCTTATATATCACAGACTATACTTTATAATAAATCTCTGCCAACCGCATCTCCTTACATAAATACATCTTCTTCATTATTATAATCTTAAAGATTATAATTTACAACTCTGGGAATACTGGTTCTCATACAATTCTTTAACTATGTATTAGATTCTATGTTTTTTTATGTGTTTTTGTTTACAAGATATTTTTGGGATATTGGAGTATTAATATTTTTCAAGTGATGATTATGAATATGTGCGTATATTGCTTGTAGCGTGATGAAATTTAGTATTTTGTGTGCGGGTACATACAGAGATTTAAAGTCTGAGAGTTTTGAGTGAAATATGATTTTACGAATCATAATTATTATGATATAATTATTGTGTTTGTCTTCCTTACCTAGTGGCTAACATATTGTTAATTTTATCATTATATCTGGTTTCTATCAGACATGATTTAGAAAAAAAAAACATTTCAGATTACAAGTTTTATAGAAACTGACTTCACCAGGTACAACAAACTTGTCTTAGTGCCCTTTTTCCTACAGTTGAGGTAATTAACTCACAATGCACCACAAACTTAATGCACATATTGTGTTTACATCGTACGTGCATTGTGTGCACATCGTCTGCACACATGTACTATACAGTATTTAGCATACAACTGTACAAAAGGATTGCATGTATTTTGCTAAAAATGGTTAACTGGTATTACAGATTCAAAATTTGACAGGAAACTCATGTACCTCAGTCAATCGCAAGTTGTGCGCCTCAATCAACACAAAATACCTGTATACGGGTATATTTACATGACAGGTCCCAATCCATACCGGCTAGGTATCCCGTGTAACAAACAAAACACTTAGGATTTATCTAAGTATCTATTTTTTGTTTACAAAATGATAGAAAATGAAAAGAATACAGAAGTATTGAAAATCAGATTTTCTTACTAATGGTATGGTATTTTAGATAATTCATCGCTGAGACAAAAATAGACGCCCGTTTAATATTTACATATATAATGTATACATAATGATGCTTGTCTTTACACCAAGACTGACCATGTGTGGCACATTGTAAACAAACGCTTTATGAATATGTATAACTGTTCAGTCTGTATCTGATAGATCAACAGGTGTTCAACCTATAGATCTATGGCTTAATTAGGAAGTATAATTAGTTATACTCTTATTTATGTAGAAAATAGATAAATCCTATCCCACACTTATTCATAAGTCATAGAATCGCACATATGTGTGATAGAACCACACAACGTGTGCACAGATTGCAATTGCTTTAATTATTGCGTCCAGTTTTCCTGTTGTGAAGACATCATATGTTGTGCACATTGTGTAGTATTGTACAATTCCGTAACTGTATTATGTTAACATCTAGTGTCTCCCTCTCCTGTCGTACATGTTTGAGTGACATCTTCTTTGCTTTCTGACATGATTTATGTATTGTCTATCCTCTCATACTTTAGAGGTTGCCATTCTATTGGAAAAAATCAGTTTGCAACTCCCTCCCATATTGGGACCTATATAATGGACATAGTATTGTATAACGGAACTGATATCCAAGATGACACATAGGTGAATAATCCCACGATTGTTTACATGTACTGTATTGAAAGGGTTAAAGAAATTATTATTGACAGAGTAAGGTTTACTATTAACTATAACATATAATTTATTTACACACGTTCTTAACTCCAATTTCTTGATAAATATGGCCAGTTATGAAATCTGTGTTTTACACAAGGAAAGAATTAATATTATTATACATTGGTCGATCCTTTGTAGTATTATCAGCCGAGTAATTGGAACTTTAGAAATATTTAAATGATTGATTATCTTGCTTTATATACTTTCTTTATTCAGTATAAAATTAATTTAAGGTTTTTGTATATGACTTTACATATCACTGTTTTTGATTTCTCACATAATCTACTTGTTATCTAATGAAAATGCCCGTATAATATTTTTGCATCTATGTCACTAGTATAGTATACCATTGAGTGTTTGTCATTGGCTGTCAGAAATCAATTTTTTGTGATCTCATCATATGGACAAGGATATTACATCATGAATTGCATATGGTACAACAAATTAACTGCCTCCATCTGATTTTGTCCTCCTCATATTTACTTTTAACCTTTCAAAATGAAACTTGTCTTAGTTTTGTGATAAAGAAGAAATATTATATATTTGTCTTCATTTCATATTTTATGAAAATGTTCTGAAAGTTTTAATTTTTTGCTTTGCTAAATATTACAAAAATAAAAAAAAATCTGTTTTCAAAAGTCTCACATGAAAAAAATCATTTAATATTCTTTATATTTGAACATATGAAAGTGAAAGTCACTTGATTTTGTGAGATACTGATACAGTAAGGATGTCCAATTTATATTTGAAAAAAATATGACTTGAAGTCAATCATAGAATCATGTGTCTTAATGTGAAAATGTGTTACCAGTAAAACAAATGACTAAGTTAGATTTTTTTTTATTGTCCTGTTATCGCTGCATATATATATTATGTATTGTACTTAACATTTCGTTTCCCTGATTTTATGTTCGGGGCAGCTGTTACTTGTCTGTTCTTTATGTCCCATCATTTGTTGAATTAATAACATATCTTCAGGGCCTTTCAACAAAGCTAATTCATATCTACTCCATATTATAATAACACCATGTTCTACAACTTGTCATATTAAGGTGGTCATATGTCCAGGTTAAAAGGTCATATTTGTTAACTTCTGAAAATTCTTCAAACAATGATACCTGTTATATATGGGAGTGGGGCATTAATGTCTTAGAGATATTGTCTAGTTTATAGATATAAATCACCTTTCCGAAACTGTATTAATTTGTAAATGAGATACCAATCATGAATAACGCCCTTCAACAGAACAGTCTATTTCACACATGTATTATTATCTCAGGTATTTGGATCATTCCATTTGTCAACATACTTGTGTAGCAATTTTTTTCCTCAAAGTCAAAATTTCGTTTTATGCTTATGAACCATAATATTTCATATTAATTCAAATATTGATTGAAACATTAATTGGTATGATTTTCAGTTACTACTCTTCAATGACGAAAATCTGACCAGTCTGAAATTATATACACCTTTTCAGTTTAGACCCTCATTTGCGAAGTTTGTGCATGAAGAAATGAATCTATTATACAGTTTTATGTATATTTTATGTTACTAACAGTAATTATGGATCCTGCCAAAATATTCATGACTTTTTTATTTAGTATTGAAGTGATAGCATTATTATGAGTATACAAATGAAGATATATATATCTATCACATGTTGAAATGTACATCAATATTATCCAGATATTTATTCGATTTTGTGTAAATACAAACTATAAGCTACATGTATTTATGCTGTTCTCCATTTGTCAGCTTCTCATCTTAAGAGAGGTTTTGTGGTACGTTTTTGAAAGGTTTCTTAATAAGTCTATATACATACATAGATCATGTATCTCCTATTCATCTCATGTATGTTTGAGCATTAGAGATTTAACATTGGCACTATGACAAATGAATAATGATTTTTTCTTTAATTTTTGTATTTTTACCATGGTTTGAACACAACAATTATTACATTAAAGCTGACTAAATTTTGGAGAAAGTTTTTGAAAGGCTTCAAAGTCCTTAAGAATACATTTAACCTCCCTCCTGGTATGTACAATAATCAGAGATCTTAGATGTAACGTTACATTATGTGCGACAATTTGATGTTAATTCATCAAATCATGTCATTTAGAAAATCTTATAAGGTCATATTCCCCTTGTCCTTTTTCAGAAGTAAATCTTCCATCTTAATATATGTTGCCCTGGTTGTATTGAATTTGAATTGGGATTAAGATTATGTTGAAATGTTGATATTTTCTCATTGTTTCCATAAGTGTATTTATACATTTTCTCTCTAAATTGTACCCTGTGTGGACAATGTTTTACATCAAAAGCCATGTACAAGATTGTTTTGCAAGATTTTGAAAGAGCATATTTAAACATCGCTCACCCCTGCAAGTGGTATTTTCTAAAGGCTTATAAGGCCTCTGGTATACATCCTAGTATCCTAACCCTTGTCACATGACTCACCATGTACGCCAGTTTCTCCCATATTTAAATCCTTATAATCAGCATAATTTAATTTGAAAAAAAAACTTGTTTTGCAATTGTTATATTATACATAAACCTATATATCTATATACATTAATTAAAGGTCACGATTTATTTTTAGGAATCGGAAAAGGACGAAAGATGTCCGGTATCTTTATCTCACTTAAGTGCATTTACGGGTGATTTACAGGAAATTTGAATGTTTAATCATGATGATTATTATTTTTAGATTCCACAGTATATTGTCCTTTTCTTAGAAAAAAAGTTTTTATAATCAGTTGTTGAAACATTTTGCATTGTCTATAGCCGGCAACTATATCCTACCACTCATTGATTGCACTCGTTATAATATCAAATCGTTATTTATCGTTATAACATGTTACTGACAGAGGGAAACAAAGGGGCAGTAACTCTGGGAGATCAGAATGTTAATAGGTCGAATATGGAGCTTCGTGTTTAGAATCAATGTAAAAACTTGGTATTGAGCAATCATTGTCAGTGTAAGTGGGTATTTATGTTGGTGCTTAACTCTAAGTCATTATCCAGGCATAATAAAACAAGTGAGATACCATTCGTTCTGTTTGTTATCCTCCCTATCCTCCCCTACCCACCAACCAATTTAGGTAAGAGGGTACATGATAATCACTTTGCTTGAGCGCGAGTACGTGCTTCCGTTCACGTGCACGTGATAAATTTAAGATATCTTTTGAACCTCTCAACAGGTTTGGTCCCTGTTCACTTCATAGCATCACACAACCGACGACAGACCCGAGTCATTTCCGGTCATTGGTTGAAGGTCACCTTTGACCTCTAAAAACAAACTGATGATCAGGATTGGGGGCGGGATATCTATGTAAGCCCTTGATCACTTTGTTTTTTATTGTTGTTTTTTTTCAGATGGAGTTCAATTGGAAATTGGCCCGCGTTTTTCAAAAACATTAATTATCTTGTAATTTTTTCAAGCAGTTTTCATTTTTAACC